ATGTATGTAACAATTTTTCTCCCATCTCTAGAAAGTTTATTGCATAATGCTAAGCCTTTGTTGAAAGTAATTCTTGCTTTCTCATTATCAAGCTCACATTCTGAATTTTGCTTAATTGAATTTAATCCGCTTGAAATAATTTCTTCGTCAGTCAATTGTGATATAATAGAAGTTATAACAATATTTCTTATCTTAAAAAAAATCAAGTAAATTCAAAGTTCAGTTTTTAGTTAATAACGAAAGGTATTCTGCTGCTTTTGCATTGTAATAACATCCAAGCTGAAAAGTCTGCAGTGTCACTTTTACTAATGAGTATAAGTAGCCACAATTGTCTTATACCATGGTTAAAATGGCTTACAAGTTGTCATCTCAAGAAACTTATGAATTAAATAATTCAGAGTTAACAGGTGCGAAAAATAACGCAAACTAAAAACATATTCATTTTTCCTAATGTATAGAGTTACAGTGATGCAGTTTATGCATCAAATAAATATAACAGAAGTACAAGTAGAAACTGTAGTAGAGACATAGGGATAAATGATATGAATGAAAGAACTCTTGTATAAAAATGCATTGAAGCATTTGACATAAACAGAATTGCATATCCATTGGCAAAATTACTTTAAAAATTATTTTTATAACTCTCAGATTAATGCATAAGTAAATAAATGTACTATTTTCAAATACGTCATTCATAAAGTTTTTGCTAAAATGAATCCCTAAGTTACTTCTGCCATTATTCAATATTCTCTTGCAAATAAGCCACATTTTTTTCACACACACACACACACACACACACACACACCAAAAAAAAAAAAAAAAAAAAAACAGATGAAAATTAAGAGTGGGGCATATATAAGCAGCTGATTAGAAATGGATATATACAAACATGTGGCAGGACAACAGCACATATACTACATGTTTGGCCATATGTTCTGAAGTGTGGAATATCCAGTGCTGTGGATGGCTCTTAGGGTAACATACTTTGGGACACTGGTACCAGCAATAGTGATACTGGAAGTGCAGGTAACTACTTAATAGAAGTGTAAGAGTATTAGAGTAGTTAGTAACTACTCTACTATCTACTCTAATAAATAATGTAACTACTCTAATAGTTTAGACAGTGAATAAGAAGTGCTAGCCACAGAATGATGTTCCTTTTGACAAATAATAAAAATTTTGTCTCAGAGTATGATAAGTACCATACTGTTTTTAGTTGCTTTCACATCTCTAAAATTAAAATAATAATAATGATGATGATGATGGTAGACAGGTTTTTTGCGGCTTATCCTCAAGATTTTTTTTTTTTTTTTAATTATAGGTAAAAATTAAAGGTGCAGCTTATTCAAGTAAAAATTCAGTATTCCTTTCATATGCCCTTTTAGCAATTATGGAAAGTACTAGAGTTAAAATTTTGGATTTATTAAAAGAATTCTGTATCCTTTGGTCTCTTTTCTGTGCCATTTTCCAGTTTTGCCTGCCATGAAAATCTCAACAAATCTTAAGAATTTTTTCCTATTCACTTGGTGTGGATTATAAACAAACATTATGGTATAGCAGTATGTTTAAAGTTTTAACTCAGGATCTGAAAAAAAGTTGAATAATCCCCCCCAATATTTGCTGTATAAATTCAAAATTAATTTTAAAGTGCAAGAGAATGTGTACCCAGCTATATGGACTTGTTTAAAACAAAAAATTTGCAGATTTAAGATCCAGTCTGTGTGTAATAATAGTAATAATAATAAAATTGCTATTAACTGTGCCGAAAAAAACTAATGAACTTCATTAAAATGATAAATTTGCTTTTCGACCAAAATACAGTTTCATACCTACTTTTGCTAAAAAATTATTTGCATATAAATAGGGATTTAACATTAGCTATCTGTTTATATTTCCATTGAATTTTTTTTATAACATTCCAAATGGTAAGTCACATGATAGACTTCTAAAAATGTTATAGTTCGTTTGTCTTTATCATCTGTGAGTTAATGCTATTGAGAGGTAGGCTTCCCTAAGGGTTTTCATCTATAAGAATATGTGTTTATGTTATGTTTTTCTTGAGTAATAATATTGTTATTAAAAGGAGTGACTCATCATTATATAAAATCTCCCTAAATGAACCATACCATGTATATAGCAAAAATTGCCTGCATTCTTTTACACTCATTGCTATGCTAACCATGCATGAGATTAGATTGGATAATGAACATGTAATAAACTTAGGTTTTTGACATTGCTGTTTTTTTTTTAAAGGGAATTCTTAGATAATACATAATAAGCTATTTTTTAGTAGTTCAGATTGAAAACAATTATAGCATTTTGTAGTCAGGTTAAACTTTTGAACGTAATCTGGGTGTCTTCACCTGCTAGTTTGCAATATTTTGGTGTGATAATACAAATATTGCAAATTATTTAGATAGATTATTGGTAGATTATTTCTGTATGATTTGCTAAGTCTAAAAGTGACTGTCATTAAGTACCATATTACCTCCTGCATTATTTGAAGACAATTTGCATGTATCACTGATTGAGTTTATTTTATCTTTGAAAGATTATGCTGTTAATCATAAATAGGGTTTGAAACATTACAGCCATTTAGAGTTTATTTATTTTAAAAAAATTACAGGAAATTTTAAATTTAAATTATAAAATAATATTCTTGGCAGTGGTTTCTTCGTAAAAAGGGAGTGAGTTGCACTAATGATGACTTTTGTTATAAGTTATTTAACAGCTGGGAAATATTTAAATGTGGAAAAAGATTTTTCTATTCAAGAAATGAAATTGATTGCATGCTTCCAGTACTACTGTATGTAAGGTGTGAGCTTGAACATCATTTAATTTAATGTACATCATTTTCAAGTTGGTATCACCTATTACAATATGATCTATTATTAGAAGAAGCCCTTTGTTATATATGTTACAGTGAAACACCGAAATCTGGAGAATGTCGACTTTCACTGGTGAATGTCAACATTCACATAGTCGCTTGGTGTATGTCTGAAATATTTTCCAAATACTCTTATTTCTGACTTACATAAAATAAGAATTTAAGAATATAAGAACTTGTAACACACAGTACATTCAAAATGAGAAAGGAAAATAATAGAAGTTAAAAACTTAATAGATTATGTGATTCCAATCTTATTTATTGCAACAACTTAAACTATTATTACACTTTGAATTGCACAAGAGGTCCTTGCTTTTACAACTGCATTTATTTGTGGAACACTTCCTTTTGCAATGACAGCATGTACATATACTCCTCTCCTTTCGACCTACACCAGAGCATATCTGTGATTATCGACATACACCGGTGAGGGTCCAAATGTACAAGAATGTAATGCAATATTCAATCTTTCACCAATGTATTTGGTGAATGTTGACGTTCTCCAATTTCAGTCTTTCACAGTAACATATACACAATTATATCAAATTGCATTTATATTTGATTACAGAATATCTTATAGTGTGCTTTGTTTTCTATACTGCTATATCTCTTTAGTTTGAATATATACAGCAGTTATTTCTTTTAGTTTATGCCTTGTACCTTGCTCACTATTTTATTTAAGCGGATAAAATGACGTTTTAATTACTTAGAATGGCGCAAAAGCTATTATGAAATGCAGGAAAGTGGAAGAGAATGAATCACCTGAATTGGTAAAATCAAGCAACCTTAAAAGTGCGGTTTCATTGATTATTATTAACACATAGTAAACTGTTCCCATGTGTATGTGAGGTTAATGAAAGAGCTAGGAAAAGTGTTGATTCAATTCACCATTTCTCAGTCATAACATGAAATCTAATCCACCTATAACATTTCTTTCACTTGACGATTTCTGTATGAGTCAAAGATGAGCATGCAAGTCACATTTTCAGTGTTCTGAAGATTTTTCATTTGCATTTCTGTGAATTAAGCCAGTTTTGATTTAATATTGCTAGACTTATTTAAGGAGATGTAAACTCCCAAAGATTGTAGAATAAGCAAGACTAGAAAATTTTGAAACAAAACTCAGCTTCCTCTTCCATAATATTTATCATGAGCCAGCTCATTGTGTAAAACTGAGGAAACTCAATTCATCTAAAGGTCAGTATTGTAACATGCTTGACATAGAAGCCTGTAGGGTTCCTCACTCTTTTTGTCTAAGATGAACGTCGAGGAACCTAGTGAACTGTGTAGCAACTTATTGCTGAGTTCAAACAATTAAACATAGACTCGAGCTGGGTTAAAATACCCTTTATTTCACTCAAATAAGAATAACAGTTGGCCCCTTATCAGGCTTAGAGGAACCCTCTACTTGAGCTTTAACTCAGAATAAGAAACTAAACTAATGAAATGAGATTTAGCTGAAGCTAAACACAATTATCTAACATAGTTAGTCCTTTAATTTGAACTAGCCAGCAAATATCAGAAAGCACGTAATATAAGCCAAGCATAACAGCTTTAAGAGTAACTTAGCCTGAAGGTGAACATGTGCTACTAAGGATTCCTAGCACTCTCTGTTGAAGTTAGTTGAACCTTTCTTAAATACTTCTTCTAACTCATTTGCATTCAACGTGATTCTAAAAACTCATTCTGGTAGCTGTAAGGGAGCTGTAAGTGGAAACAAGAATTGATAGAAAAGGACTTTAAAATTAAAATAACTGTTATAAAATTAAAATATACGTAAGAAGCCTTCAACCTGTTTATTCTGTAGGTACAACACATATTTGGGTTCTAATCTAAAGAACATACATTGTCTCTTATCAAGTGATGAAGTTGCACTTCCAGGCACCTGGGTGTCCGTCTTCACTCATTTACGTTCTTTAAAAACTAAAATTAAAATTTGTCATGATTGTAAAATGAAATGCATTTAATTCTTGCTAGAAAAAGTTGACTTTTAGGCTTCTAGCTTAAGAGCTGATTAAGAAAAACTCATTTATTAGATTGTGGTAAATCAAAAATTGCTGAAGAAAATATATATTGCATGTTTTTATATTTTAACTTGATTTTTTGGTTTTAGGGATCCCGAAGAGCGGTTGCTTCTCATAACTGGGACTACAGGTGGCAGAGAGTACCATCCAGTTGTATGTATTAACTTTTCATTGGTATCATAAAACCCTGCTTAACTGTGATAAAGGGGAGGGGAATCATTTAAATCCGTGAGTCAGAACACCAGTTGCATTCAGTTATTTTCAATCAATGATTTTTATTCTTTTTTGTTGTGAGATAATTGCTTATTGTATAACGAAGACAAGCAATCTCAGTACATTATCTGCAGAAATATTGAAATCTGTCTAAGGTAAAATTTTCTTGTGTACTTCTAATCTAATATTGCAATATATTAGATTCTTGCTATAAAACTGAAAAAGAGATAATTTATTATTTAACCCTTCAAGTATTAATAATATAAAATTATGTATTGAAGGATGACTTTCCCATTTCTTATGTATGAGGAAAAGGAGTCAATATACAAAGTGGAGAGGATCATTTTAGAATTATAATCTATCAAATACCTCTTATTTCTGAGATTTTGGGGAAATTCTGAAATTTCAGGACAAAACCTACAATGCTTGTAGAGTTAAATAGTTTAGATATATCAGGGTTGCCACACTACCTGGAAAACCGGGAGAACCGGGAAAAGTCAGGGAATTCGAAAATTGACTAAAATATTCAGGGAAAAGTCAGGGAATTTAAGTATTTTTGTCAAAATCTGGAAAAGTCAGAGAAGTTCATACAACGATCCCGCCAAAAAAAGCGATTTTTGCGCCGACGTTGGAAGAGGTAATTTTTTTGGCGAATTATGTATCACGTGAGTGCGGGTAGCTGGCATAGAGCCAATTTTCGCAGCTCCAATTTGATTGTCTTTTAGAAAGGCAAAGCAACTTTTGGCTTCCAGTATTCTCGAGAACCGCATGTGCAGTGCATGAACTAAAGAAAGTACCTGTTCTCGTATAAAACAAAATGGGTTTAATCCTAGTATACGGTACCATGGAGGTTAGAATCAAAGAATATGTATTGTAAAGAAGGAAAACCTCTCTGTAATAGACGTGGCTGTGGCTCCGTTCCATCATAGAGGGAAACAGCTGTGCATGTCTGATATATCTGTCGCCAAAGCTCGAAACAGGTGTCGAAGTTCGAAGGTCACGTTATCAAGAGTTCATAAAATGAATATCGTTTAAAATTTCTTTAACCACTTGCGCTAAAAAGACGTGCCACGCACGTCAAGATGCTTTTGTCTCAAACCGCGAGCGACGTGAACACCACGTCGATAAGCATTTATCGCAAAAATGAAAATAACGCGGTGCACACGTCGCCTAACAACGAGATTGTTTATTTCTCGAGTTACAGCTCTGGATTGCACTCGCAGATGCGGAGCGGCGTAAATGAGACACTTTACCGCTTGTTTTATTGTAGGCACGGCACCGCAGCCGTGAAGTTTAGTCTTAGCGCAAGTGGTTAAACTCTAAAGGAAAAGCAAATATTTTTTGGCGCAAGTAAATTAATTCATGGATTAGTTATTTTCAGGGGGAAAAAAAAACTACGAAAATCCGTTTTTAAAATTATTGCGAAAAATCCAAGAAGAAACGTCCTTTGATAAAACGTTTCTTCTTGGATTTTTCGCAATAATTTAAAAATGGATTTTCGTAGTTTTCTTTTTGTCAAAGAGTGTTTCTTCTTAACACGTGCTTCTCAATTTCCTGTACACATCGCGGAGAGGGAAATTCTGGCCGCCAGGTTCCGTCGCCAAATCCCTTGGCAAATTTTCCTTCCGCATTCTAGCGGCGTAATAGCATTTTACTTGTATGAAACCTTTTCTTCTTTACATAAACGTTCTTTGGTTAGAATAATAATGGGATTTGGCGACATCTTGATGCGCAGTAAACGGGTCATTTTGGTCTTGACGACAATTTTCAAAATCGTGCCCAAAGCCTTACCGTATACTAGAATTTTACCGCAAAATCTTTTTAAACCTTTTTTTCTTTTTAATAAATACCTTGCCATTTTGCAGTAAAATAAAAAAATAGTAATCAGTCATCTAGGCTAGCCATGTAATATAACTATATTCGCTAAAATATCGTTGATTATTCTAATTCAATTTTTAAGTAATTATTTTTATGTTATTCATATAATTTAATGTTGCTTCTTTCCTCTAAATTTATTTATTATTAGTAAATAATATTTCCAAATTTCAGGAAATTTTCTCTGGCATAATCCTGAAATTAATTATAGCAGTATGATGACATACTATCACGAAATTTAATGCACATATTTTTTCCTTATGTATGCTGCGAAATAAATATAAAATACCTCAATTTATTAAAATAGATTTCTTTTTTTCGTTTAGCTGCAGAATGTCTGCAAAAAAAGCCTTATTTTATTCCAGATTGGGAAGATTCTAATCTCAATCTTCAGTGGGGAAAACAACAACTATTATAATTATATGTGTGTTTTCAAGTGTTAAGGTGCCTTTTAAGAACATACCTCACGCAAATTAAAATTACCTAAAATCTAACCTAACTATTTAGCATTGCGTTGTGATTTATAAGGACCGGATTAGCCTCATGTTGAACTGGTGATGATCATGAGTAATAATTAAATAAAACATACATTTGTTATCCAATACATATATCTTAAATTTTATTAAGTTTCTTAAGTGGAAAACTAAACAAAATTATCAAACAAAGTATACCAAGAATAATTAAGAATAAATGTCCTCTGGGATTTATTGAATAATTAAGTGAATTTGCTACACAATACAAGTAATACCATAATTAATTTACCTCTTAGCACAGCCAACGTACATTACGCGGATAGACTGGAATTTTCATGAAACACCTGGAAAACCTGGAAAAGTCAGGGAATTTCATTCTTCTGTTTCAGTGGCAACCCTGATATATGAATGGTTTATTATGCCCACTTTTGCTTATCAGTTGTTATACATATTTGTTTGTACTTTTAATTATTGGAAATAGTTCCCGTTATTATGCAAAAAAAAAAAAAAAAAAAAAAAGAGGGGGTGCGTCCAGGAAATATCCATAGTGATTTAGTTTCTAGATGGTTATAAGATGAAAATTGAAATTGCCTTAATATTTTTTAACATAGTTTCCTGCTAAACATATTTTTTCTGACTGCAAGCTTCTGTATTATGGTAGTATAGAGTTTTGCTAACTACTTCCTAAATGATTGGAGATTTGCCTAAGTTACTTTGTTATCCATGTGAATTTTTCTTTTCCTTTTAAGATGCTCATTTGAAGGACAAAGAAAAGTGAAATCGATTGTAACCAAAAGGTTTGGGTATTGCAATAGATCTCTCTACTTACTATAGCTTTGATTGGTTTGGTTTAGTTTATTATGGCAAAGCCCACTAAGGGCTATTTGCTTGGGGAGGAATGCCTTCAGGAAGGACTTTCTGAGGAAAACTGGCTATACATGTTATGCATGGGAAAAACCATGAAAACACCCATACAGCTCGGCTGGATTCAAAGCCAAGTCGGAACTACCAGTTTTCAGCAATTTTACCGCTTGGCCGCTAGTGGGCCGTATGATAGCTTTGAAAACATAGGAAGTCATGCATTATCATAATGCAAAACACGGCTGTAGCTAGAATTTAATTTCTTGGGGGTGGGAGAGCGACCATGATTTCCCAGTATCTGAAATTTTATAATTTTCAAGAGAGTACATTAAACGTGATTTAAATTTAAATATGAATGATGTCATGGTGGACTTTGGTGGATTTATATTGATTTAAATAAACTTAAATATAATAAACAAAAATTTGCATGATTTTTGGTGAAAATGATCTATGACAGCATTATTGTCCACTTTCCACTTTGATGCTTAAAATGTGATGAATTGAAAGCAGAGCTAAACCGTTAGATGTTCTTCATTTTATTATTACTGAAATATTTTTAAAATTCTTTTTAAAGTTAAAAAAACCTCTTTCAGCTGTCATAGTAGAAACTGGTTGTATTTTCGAAATCAATAAGAGAGTTCAAATGTTGAAAAAGTAATTTACGTCACAATTTACTAAAGCCTGACTTGTAGTTGGGGTTTATTTTGTTTGGTTTTCATTTTTATAGCCATATTGATCATTCTCCTTTCAGTATTTGTTCATGAGGTTCAGGAAGATCATCCTCATAAAACTGAGTACATTGCTCAATAAAATCGTACGACACATTACATCTCTGTGAAGGTACACTGAATTGAAATTATTAGCATTTCATGTGCAAGATCTGTCATTTCATAAAGAAATTAAGTCATTGATGAAAATGTGTGATAAGAGATTTTTGGATCTGTTGTGGGCATGTCATAAATTTCTTTAGTTTGAATATATACAGCATTGAATTCATGCATCTTTTACTGCCTGTATAGCACTTGCAACATTTAAATTGACAGTTTGTAATAATTTTGATAAAGTATAATTTATTTCCTAAAATTTGCTTGGTGCAAGTACTGCAATAATAAAGTTACACTTATTAATGAAGTTTAACTGCAAAATAGTTTTTTAAATTGATCAGCAAATGTTTCTCTTATTTCTTTCAAAGATGCAAAAATCAGTTTAAAGTCAGCTTCATGTCTTTTACACCACCTAGTTTTGTATATTTTTTAACTCGTATTTTTCAAGTGAAGAAATAATCTTTTTAATTTTATCTAGTAATCTTAGTGCATTTTGGACTTAACATGGAAAAAAAGCATGCTTCAATAATAATTCCAATTGGGTTTATAATGTCTTGAATTTTAGAAGAATCACTTAGATGAATGTTTCAAAAACGAGACACATAATGTGTGTATAGACTTTTAGATACCTATTTCATATACTAGCCTATATGCCTTGAAGCGATGCTCCATCATAACTTTAAATGTAGTTGTCCTCTTAAATATTGTAGCAGTAAACCAAGTCTCCAAATTTTTGATAATTATGTGTGCTAGAGCTAGTGGGAGACTGGCGGCAGGTAGTACACCTGACTCCGTATAATGATTGGTACATTTGTGAGGTTTGCACTGCATTTTGAACTCAAAAACATGTATATTAAAATTAGGAGATGCTCTTTACAAATATATATAATTTATGGATAGCGTAGAA